GAAGAAGGCCCTTCTGAAATCTGTTTAAAAATACATAGGACCATCTCACTGGTATTATATCAGAACATCTCATGGCCTGCATTTGTAAATGGCCTGCATTTGTATAGCGCTTTTCTAGTCCATAGGACCCCAAAGCGCTTCACACTACATTCAGTCATTCACCCATTCACACACACATTCACACACTCTCACTGTGAACAATGCTGTTCTGGGGATCTGCTCGAGTCCCTCAGGATTGTCTTCGACAGCTAAAATTCCGAATAACAACAAGTTCCTGTCATGTGACCATGAAGGGATCCTGAAGACTAAAACAGTCTAAAACATCCAGGGCTAGCTCCTCATTGTTTCTGCTGAGCCACATGTAATCATCCTGCTATTCAGCTAATTAAAAAATGACTGGAAAGAAATGACTGGAGAAGGTGCTTGTGTTCCAAATGAACCAAGTACTGGTGGGTTATTGATTCATGAAATTTCAGCTGGAGTAGGACAACATGAAGTGATCAAATTCACAATATCAGCAGCCTTTTAAGGTCTATTATTTCTGATTTATGTGAAGAAAAAAGCAGATAGTGTATGCAGCAGGTCCCATCTCTCCTCTCTTTGCATCTTTAAAGTCTTCTTTGCATCACTAAGGGTATCTGAGTACCCCTGACCGGCTCAGTTGAATATCCCAAGTCACTGCCTTGGCTAGGAAAAAAAAAAGATGTTGCTATTGCACTCTCAAAGGCAGGTGATTGGGCATCTGCCAGTGATGGCATAGCTGGAGAAGCACTGCTTGGAGAAATCTCAGATTCTGTACATTACAGCAAAAGCTATTGTTTCCTTCTCCTTTTCTCCCTGTTGTGATCCCTTCTTTCCCCGTGTCATGTCATGGCTGCTCATTCTTCTTCTCTTTTCCCACTTTTCTCAGTAGTGATGTGCACTGGTGTTCTCATCACTTGTGTGAAATCAGATTGCATTATACACCCAGCCCCAGCTGCCATCAGTCTGCGGCTGCAGAGTCAGGGCCTGTCTGTGTGTGTTTGACTCTTGCCAAGAAGCTAGCAAAACTAAACCACCACAGTCAAATTTCTGATTGTTTGTGTTTGTGTTTGTGCCTTTGTGTGCCTGTTAGAAACGATGGAGACATGTAAATGACCCACCTATTTGATGACTTCTTCCCTGAGTGGAGGACTTCACCTTCTGAGCTGTGAATGAAAACTCAATTCAGTGAAGGGAAAGGAGGGAGGTTTGGTGTTTAGAAGAATGTAAAGTAGCATTCAGTAAACAAAAAGAAATCATTTAGCGTAACCTGTTTATATTAGATTATTGCAGCACTGTTACTGTTGGCACAGTTGACTCATCAGAACGAGGCTGAAAGCTGCTTTAGAGAAAACCTTGAAGTGCTCTGAACAAGGGAGGAAACTTAGCCTCAGTGTAGTAAAATGGTTGTAATATAGTAAAGTTTTCTGATTTCTGTTAAAAGACATTTCCCAACAAAGAAGTCCAAGTATATTTATAATTCATCCGTTAAACAGTACCAGTCAGAAGTTTGGACACAGTCATGCACTCATATCAATGAATGAGTCTTCAGACATTTAACTAGTACTGTATGTGTTATCTGCATTTGTAAGAACTGATTAAAGTGGCATGAGTGGCATGAGTTCAAATTATAATCATATTTGAACTCATAAGGGCGATCGTGGCTCAAGAGTTGGGAGTTCGCCTTGTAATCGGAAGGTTGCTGGTTCGAGCCCCGGCTTGGAAAGTCTCTGTTGTTGTGTCCTTGGGCAAGACACTTCACCCGTTGCCTACTGGTGGTGGTCAGAGGGCCCGGTGGTGCCAGTGTCCGGCAGCCTCGCCTCTGTCAGTGCGCCCCAGGGTGGCTGTGGCTACACTGTAGCTTGCCATCACCAGTGTGTGAATGTGTGTGTGAATGGGTGGATGACTGGATATGTAAAGCGCTTTGGGGTCCTTAGGGACTAGTAAAAGCGCTATATAAATACAGGCCATTTACCATTTACCATATTTAAAGTTTAATTTTCACGTTAACCTAATTCTGGAAATCTTAAATCTCAGAAACCAATCTGAGAAAATAAATAAATAAAAAACCTAGATTTAAACCCATTAACCTTTCCTTAAAAGTCTGATTTCACCATTGATCAGTTAAAGAGTTTTGTAAAACTGTAAATTGGAAATTGTTCAATCTTATTTTCTTGTCACAGTTTGACTTTTTCAGCTCTCTCACGTACATGTGTTCCATTATCTGTCACAAGTTTAAACATAAATTGAGAATATGAGACAAAATTTACAGTTACGCCCCAGACGCCCATTTACATTATGACTCAGCTCAGAAGCAACAAGAAACTGACATTAGAGTTTCAAGAAGTGTAGTTTTATTCTAAATGACATCATAACTTAGCTAAAACAACTGGTACCCCAAAAAGACAAAACTGGTGTGAGTCTCTGTAGAGTGACCCTCAGTCTTGCCTTTATCCACACCTTACCAAATATGGTTAATTAGCAGTGAAGCCCAGGCAACCTTAAGAGAATACGGGTTGCAGAGGGACGTAACACTTACATAAACTTAGCTTCATTCACATCTTGATTCCTAAAATAACTTAGCAGTTGTTTCAAATATCAAATAGTTTCATAAAACCATTCAAAACCACAAGGATGTGTAGCAAATTCTGGGGGGAGGGAAACAGACATTTTAGTTGCAGGTTTCTTTCAGCTTTTTCCTTTTATATTTAATGGAAATTCTCAAATTTTCTTTGTAGATTTTATTAAATAATATTCCTTTTTTCCTTTTCTTGTGGAAAAGAAGTCTCATTTTGTTGCTCTCATGTAGAGACTTGACTTACGAGTGCGCCTATAGTTTGATAAAAATAGCTATGTGTTACAGTTGACGCATTCTCATTTACGCACATGTGAAACACACGCCTCCACATTTAAACAAGCTCTTTGATGAAGCTTTTGCACGCTGTTTTTCAATTCCACTGACTTGTGTGTGGTCTTTGTTTTATTTTTTCCAAGCATCACTAAATGTGAATGACATGTGCGCTACAGTGTTTCTTCCCCTGGGCCAACTGGCAAAATGGCGGCTAGAGAGCCTCATCCAGTGCTTTTGCAGCGTCTGGATATTCACCACGGTGACGATAACAGAGCCTATATGGATGCTTCCAGCTTGGACAGCTCCTCCATATAAGAATGCTGGATTTTCTCAGCATTGCTTGGGTTATTCTTAGTAAGGACTGTTGTCTGTGTGGTCCCCAGAGCCCATCCCCCTGCTGCCACCATAGAAATGCTATGCATACCATATCACATTAGAGCACTTTGTGGTGAAAATGAGGCAGCGTAGACAGAGAATTTCTCTGGGGTTAGGCCCCCTCGTAGTCCTCCCGGGGAACACTGAAGCACAGAAGTAGTCTTCTGGTTGCTCTCTGGAGCTGCTGAGTCACATGTGAAGTGTATATATTCAGTATATATATACGTTGTCTTTGCTGTTTTCTTTTGACTCATCAGGATGTTCTTCATGGCAGATCTGATGATTACACTTTCGCTGTCCCAGCCTATATTTCTGGTTGACAAAACTATTTTACCTAATTTCTGTTTTGTTCCCCTGATGTTTATTAGCATACGGATTTTGTTTTTCGATTTGGCAATAAGCTTTAAAATTACGTTTTTAAACCACAAAAGGTCCATAATTTATTTACAATGTGGAGTAAAGATCCAGAATGGCTCTATAAGTACACAATCAACCAAATAAACTTTTCTTAACATTTCTTACTAATTATTATATCTTGTAAATTCATAAAAATATACTTTTTCAACAGATATTAATGATTCACACAATGAAAACACGTCAAATGGGAGCTTCGTTATAAGTATATCAGGGAAAGGAAAGCTTTAAATCTTGCAAAGGCTCACTTAATTAAGCCTGAAACTATGAAATTTATCATCAGTAAATATTCCACCAAATTAAGATATTGAGCTGAACTGCTAAATAGTTAACATAGCGGCTAACAGAAAAAAAAAACTAGTTAATTATAATTAATTATACTTATTTTATCAATCCAGTAATTTTATGTATAGTAGAAAAGAATCAGTCTGCACAATGAGAGTTAACTCATTCTTTTTCCAGCTATAAAGGTTCTTCTACACTCCTGAATTTGATATTGGCTGTTGACCACAAACATTTGTGGTTAGAAATATAAGGATGTCTCAATGAGACGTGTTGGTTTTGGCTGGTTATTCGTGCTCCCGCGTTAGAAGAAGAACGCTGCTGTGTGCTTTTTTTCTCTGAAGCCTGAGGTCATTTAGTTCTGTGTAGCACCCTTTTATTCCACACGCTGACATCACAGGTTACACATTGAAAAGCTCGCCAGTGCTGCTGCAACCCTGCCTTCTTCCTTCTGCCCAGTTATTGGTGTAACATTAAACTAGTTCCTGATAAATACTCAGGACTGCAACATTAATATGTTATTAAAACATATCTAACAGCCATTTGTTAGATGATAAACCAACCAATAGGACCTTAGGCTGTATTCAAGCATGTAAATGATTCCTGTGTTGGCAATATAGTTCAATTCAGTTCAATAATTAATATATATCTTCACGAATAATATTAATTTGGCACAAAGCACAATATAAAATAACTGTCATTTCACCTAAATGCAACGATGTAACAACACAGAAAATATCGTTGAAAATTTCTGCCAATATAATGGATATATGGTTAAATGATTATGTATAGTTTAAGGATTCTGTGTGTATTAGTCTAATACTTTATTATAGTGGTCTTGACCTTACAATATAAAGCGACTCAACGCAACTGTTATTGTGATTTGATCCTGTATGAATAAAAGTGAACTGAATTATATCAAAATGTAAATTTAAGAGGTGGCAGCACGGTGGTTAGCACTGTTGCCGCACAGCAAGAGGGTCCTGAGTTCAATTCCACCATCAGGCCGGGGTCTTTCTGTGTGGAGTTTGCATGGTCTCCCCGTGTTTGCGTGGGTTCCCTCCGGGTACTCTGGCTTCCTCCCACCGTCCAAAGACATGCAGCTTGTGGGGATAGGTTAATTGGATAATCTATATTGCCAAAATTATTTTATTCAGCTACTCACAGAATAGAATACTGACATATCAAAAGAAATATAGCAAAAAATATCTTTCCTGAAATTATGATCCCAATATGATGGGTAATCCCCGTACACTGAATTTCTTTTGTACAAAAAATATTGTTGATGAACTTCGGTATCTTTGAAGCAGACGTCTGTATAGAAAATTCTAGAAGAAGATGAGTTTGGGAGGAGCCCAATCTTTTAACGAGTGCTCGCTTGCACTTGGAGACAGTTTACAGTAAACCAAATCTTCACTGATGTTGTTGAAGCAGTGGAGTGTAAAACAACAGAGCACATTCAGTATGTGGTTTGGCAAAGACGTGCAGCTGTAAAGGAGTTTGTGTTGCGGAGGAAAGAAGGCTTTAGGGGTGAGGGGGGTTCATCCTGTGAGACCAGCACAGGTGGTTAGGAGGGGGGTTGGTGTAATGGAGGGAGGGAATGGGGCTGCTGTGGGCGTGGAAGTGCAGTAATGTGCCCACTTCCTGCATCAAACCCCTGCGCAGCACTGTAAAAACCATGAGGTTACAACAAGATCAGCACAATTTGCTGCTCTTGGCCTTTTTTTTTCAGTTAATAGCAGGCAGTCATGGCTGACTTTTTTTCTAATCATAAAAGGGAGGCGAAAAAAGAGAAAGATGAAATTATACAGCGAGAGAAACCTGAAAATTGACATGATGAAACTGAAAACGTGATGTTCACCCTATGGACGCTGCTTCCACTAATAATAAAGTAATTGAGTTCTTTTACTCCAGTTTATTTATTTATATTTATAGCACCAGAGACGCACCAACAATCAGATGACCCCCTACGAGCAAGTGCTTGGCGAGAGTGAGAAGGAAGAATTCCCATTTAACAGGAAATTCCCTCAGAACAGAACCAGGTTCAGGAAAGGGTAGCCATCTGCCGCAGCCGTTTGGGGTCAAGGGAAGGAAGACAGGACAAAAGACACACCATGGAAGAGAGCTAGAAATTACAGTAATAACAACAACAAGTAGAAGATGTAGGTAGTTTTTCATTTTTATGTATTATGCACTTTTTTTTTACAATATAGTATTTGTCTGACAGCTTTGAGTTACTCGTAGCTTTACAAGTCGAAATGTGTTGATTTTTACCTTTTTCCGATAACCAGAAAGATTAAATGTTTTTGTTATGGGTTCATTTTAGAGATGTGCTCATTTCACAGGGCAGCCAAGCTACAACACATACAAACTTATGATGTTAGTAAGGTTAGGTTTGATTTAGGTTAAACTGGATAGTTCTTCTTCTTGTTCCTTTCCTAGTGTATTGTCATATACATTCTGTTATAATACTGATTGTTCATCTTAAAAGGGTCAACATTTAAAAATATGGTATATAAGTCAAAAACTCAGTTTTCAATATTCTTTACCAAGTTTTTAAACACGTGTGATGTCATAGAGCACCGACATCCCAAAAATGAATCATCTCAGGCACAGCAGCCCCACCCACCTGCTGTTCTGACTTTCTCTTTATGAGTCTCTACAAGCTAGTCTGAAGAACGTTTCAACCCAAATTTCTTTGGCTTGAAAGGTTAATTACATTAATATCAGAGGTGGTAAAATAATTTGTTTTAGACTGGGGATGAAATGCAGGGCTGCACCAAAGCCCAGTGTAAGATAAAGGATGATTTACAACTATGAATCATGCAAAGCAAACCTGGTGGAGTCTGAGAAAATAAGAAAACATGCTAAAATTTCTTTTGTTTACTAACTGTTCTGATTTTGTAATAAAAAAAAAAAAACAATGCAAAAATCATTATCACTCCCTACTTGTGACACAATATAATCCAGGGTAACTAGAGGAAATGACCTCAACGTAAGCGGATGTCGACATCTGATAGTCTGCCGTTCCTCGTTGTTGAAAAGTTAAAAAAAAAAAAATAGTCTAAAAAATAGTCTATGCGACATCCAGAAAAGTTAAATAATGGCAAAAAAAAAAAATTTCCACACGAGTATAAGCTCTGGTTAGTCTGTTCTCCAAGCCTCAGCATCAATGACCCAAATTAATTGTAAACCAGCAAGGGAAACCAGAAGTGGGTATGATTTGAGTTCACGGTCAGTTCAGTGGTTGTCCACTTGTGTCTCCCCATGGTCTACAGTGAGTAAGCAGGCACCAGCTGTATACCTGCAGCAGTCACATGCTCCTACCTGCAGTCCACCAGCCAGACTCTGTCATTAAGGACAGATGGCAAAAGGTCAGCCAGGCAGAGCTGTTCCACGGTTGAGTCACAACACAACATCATCTTGTCATCATCATCATCATCATCAACACAGTTCATCAGCATGTCAACACAACACAACACACATTAAATGCTTCCCCACAGATTAAAAAAATGGATGTTATTCTTAATAAGAATATGTTCCACTGTTACTGGAAAGAGTTCATTTCGATGGTCAGACGTCACATAAATTTGTCTTGACTGGTTTCTTGCAGTCATGCAGTTTTGAAGCAACCATACCAGCTTGATTGTGTGCGACATACGTGTGAGTGTCTATGTGCCTAGGGCTTTTTGGTGTAAAAAAAAATTCACTGTAATTCCTTTTACAGGTAATATCGATGTATATAGCAATATGAATCAAATGACTGTTTCTGCGCAGCGCAAAGGTTCCTTTTTACTCCTGACAGGTGAAAATATGAGTTCAGTATGAGTTCGTTAATAAGGATTTTTAAATTTTTTAGTTTTTAATTTATATATTTTTTTAGCATTAATTTGTTGAGCATATCAACAGTATATGCTGTTCTCTTTCTATTTTTATTAAATTACTGTAAATGATGATTTTTAAAAACTTTTTTAATTGAGTTGGTCAACACTTTGTGCCATCTTCTAGTTGCACACATTTATGTGAAATGCTGCGTGTTCGTGTGTTACTTAAATTTTTAGTCTAATTTAATATTGACATATTTTCTTTGGTGCTCCTGTGTCTTCTCCTGACTAATCCTGGTCAGATGTTCAGTCCTTTTGTCTTTATTGAATATCATTATTTTACGCAATGACTAGAGAATAATAATATAAATTAAATGACATTCTGGCGGCTTTTCAGTTCTGCAGATGTTTCTTTCCAGATTTTCAGAGGTTAAGTGAGAGGCAAAACTCAGGGGAGCCCTAATGGAGACGGTGCTGCACGTTTTTAAAGTTACATAGATTTTCCCATGAAAAGCAGAGAAGATGTCTGAGAAACAAAAGTAGAGGACAGAGTAACTGTGGGATAGTGAGAGCAGCTGAATGAAAGGCTGTACAGCAGTTAGCAATTTAGATGGATTATAGTAACAAATTGGCTAATCTCTCGTTCTCTGCTCTGTGCACAATCATTATCATATTTATGTGACAAACACACTTGGCCAAGCTAAGAAAAAAAGTTTTCTCAATTGATGTGAACGTGAAAGTGAAAAATTTCACAGGCACGGTGCCTTTAACTCTTACAGCCAGGACATTACCATTTAACACAGCCAGTGGGTTTTAGCAGCTGTGTGATGGCAGCAATGTGACTCTGGTTAGTTTGTAATGTGACATCATCAAAGAGTCAGAAATCCTCTTCTTCCCATCAGTTGGCCAGGGTTTGCTCGATTTGGCACGTTATTCGAAGATCTCAGAACTATTATATGTGATTGCAGCTAATGAGTAGTTTTACTATCAGTACAGTTGTATTATTTTATTAAAATTAAAAAGCAATAGGAATTAGTGTTTGTTAAATGAAATTATATAATATGAAATGTTTAATAGTAAAACCAGATAAAATAATGAAATAATGAAGGATGCAATATAAAATTGCTGTGCTGGTGACATAAAACCACTGCAGTATAAAAACAAACGTACTGTTTTAATGATGTGAAGCAAAACAGAAAATTCTGAATCAAGATTTTTTTTTAATTTTAAACATTGTAAAACATGTATTGTGGAAATGGGGGTGAACCAATTTTTGCAGTATTTGTCATGCAGATTATTATCTACCTGTTGGCAAAAGGGGTGAAATTTTGCAATTTTACTGAATTTGCGCAGCATGATGAAGAGCTGAAAGACTCTTCTTAAAGATGTTTTTTTTCCTGGCACAAATGAAAGCACGGCAAGAGCAGAACAAACATAAAACCTGGAGTGATTATTAAATAGCCAAACCAAAGGCTGAAAATCCATATACTTTAATTAATTATTAAATATTTGAGGAAACTGCTTACTTTAAAAAAAAAAAAATCTGTGAGCTGCTATTATTTTCTCAGCATTAGTAAAATAGGGATTTCATGTAGTTTACATAACCGAGGTTTTACATCAGTCAGGCAAAAAAAAAAAGTAATATATGATTTGTTTGTGTACTTTGCCCTGTGAGACCCAACCCATCAAAAAATAGCCAGAAAATTCAGATTTTGGGGAACTTAGATTTTGTTAACCCTTATAACAAAATCCACAAAATTTTTGCTATATCATGTTGTGTATGATATATTTTTGTTATATATTTATTTTATATTTTTTGTATCGCTTTTGATACATTGGCTGTTTTAGCAACTTTTTGTTAACAACAATGTTAATTTTAGACAAAAAAAAAAAGTTTTGTCCATAACATTTTGGAATTATGGCAAGTATTTATCACGCTGATGAGATAGAGGTCTCAGAAATTCATGTATCAAATATGATACAAAGGGGATTATAGGGTTAAGCGCTTTGCCCAAATAGTAATGAAAGGAAAAATCAAAAGTTCATTTGTTCATCATCTAAAGGTTTTCCTGTTTGTGGTTTAATTTGTAAGGGTACGCTTTCTTTTACTTTGATTTTTGCAATAAATTTTGTTTATTATTATAAATCCTGAAAAACTAAACTTGTGCTTAATTAACAGATTTCTTGACTTCTCTTGAATTTTTCTCTCGTATTAAAACAGTTTTTTTTTTTTGCAACATTCTAAAAAAGGCTTTCTTGTAAATGTGCCATTGTGTCCAACATTTTGTGAATAGTCTCTGTTTCTGTAATCTTTGTATCCGAAGTGTGTGTGACGTGACAATGGTGCACATGTTTGCGTAGAAAGAAAAAATGAGTAATTGTGGATGATAGGAGGGTCTGTCTTCATGCTGCAGGGACGCCCTCCCCACGCTCCACCAACCTGCCAATCATCTCTCTGACCTCGCACCTTTCTAACTGATAGTGATGTAGATGTGTCCGTCTGCTGCTCGTGGATAAATGATCACTAATCAGCCAAAGAAGATGAAGGACAATTTTGTAAGTAGAACTGTTACCATACACGCTCACCTTTTGGTTTTATATGTCAAAACATGATTTTCTGCTGGCAGGAAGGCTGTTTTTTCCTGTTGTGGTTAAGCTGCTGAAGCCGAGGCAAACATTTGTCATAGTGATACACACAAAAACAAAACTTCAGGCGGAGCTGTTTTGTAGTTGTTTATGTTTACTTCCTACCTTTTTTATATTCAATAGATCATTTAGAGTCTCAAAAGCAAAAAGAAACACAACACAAACATACGTCTAGCCCTTGAACACAGAGTTTTTGGACTCAAAAACCGAAAACCTTGCTTTAAATCAGACCATTCAGAAAGGCTTACGAACTGCCTTGACGTTCTCAAACAAGAAAACCACACGGTTCAAAACTAATAAATTCTTTACAATGTTCATATTTCCATTTATAACAAACTATTGCAAAGGAAATGCAGCTTCCTTCTCTGACTTCCTTTGCAGGTGGTAGAGTAGCAGCTGTAGAAGATTTAATATTTAGTGATAATTAATCCAACTTTTTCTCCTGTGCTGGAGTCGGTCTTTCAACGATCGTTATGATCACTCCGGTTATAAAATAAGTCAAAGAAACCTCTACTTTAACCTTGTTCTCGCAAATTTGATTTATGTCCAATTTCCCTCTCAATACATGCTTGTTAGAAGGGAAACGGTAACTCTGAAGTGACATGTTGCAGCTCTCACGTGCTTTGCGTATGAACATAAAGACGGAACAATTATGCCAGTTTTTCTTCACAATCTTCAAGCAAATGCAAAGGTGTTCTTTGAGTGTCATTGGTTAGTGTAAATGGTGGCATTAAAGCTGCTATAGTAATAGTACAGACTGTCAGAGGGCTCAGCCCAGACCACGTGGAGCTCTGGCATCTGTTTCACACCCTGAGAATACTTTTACTTTTGGCAGCAGTGACATGCTTCCCTGGCCTGGACCTCCTGCTGTAAATCATTTGACGATGAAAATCTAGCTAAAATAAGTGTACTCTGTATCCTTAGTACTGCTTCCTTATGTTTCTATAGCGCAACATACCTAACCCCAAACTACGTCCTATATCGAAATACCGCCAAATTGGGTGGTAGTTCACAGCCATCACTCTGTATGACTGGGTGAATGAGGCAATGCTGGATAAATCTTTTTTTTTTTTTACAAATTCCAGCCACTGAGGCATTATTACCTGCAAGATATGATGCAGTAGTTAGTGCTGTCCTTTGCAGAAAAACACAAGCCACGCCAGGTTTGAACCTTGTTCAACCTCCAGCTTGGGTTGCAGTTCAAAGATATGCATGTCATTCAGTAATTCTAAACTGACCATGGATGTGAGGTACGCAAAGTACTAGTAAAAACTGAGTGGCTCAAAAGAATAGAAAAGTGCTATACCCTAACCCTCTACTAATGTCATTCTGTACTCTAATGGCTGAAGTCTTAGCATTCAGAAAAGAGAAAGTAAAGATAACTGACAGACATGAAAAACATATTTTCTTAGGATTTTTTCTTTTCTTTTGTTGTGTGTGTGTGTGACTTTATTTCAGACAGCTTAAGTTATCGTTAGTGATTTTTAAAAGGTGGCTGTATATTGTGGTTTTGTTAGTGTGTTTTCCCCACGGTAGCCTGATATATACCAATTGGAAGGTCGGTGGATCGATCATATTCTTGGGTCAGATACTGAACCCCGAGTCTCTTGCGAGATCCATCCATAAGAGTTTGAGTTTCTATGTGAATATTAGAAAGCACTTAGGCATGGATAAACGCACTTTATTTAACTAGCTGAATGAGACGTGCACTATAAAGCAATTCTCAACTGTAAAAGTACCATATATACTTTTGAACCTTACGCTACTCTGTAACAAACAGTGCCGAGGTCACATCTGGATCTAACACAATTAGATTAGCTTACCCCTCTACAATGCACTTCTGACTCAGCAGATGTTTCACAGCAGGCATTTTGACTTGTCACAGCAGTTCATGGCGCAGTTGTGCATTTACTACTTCGCTACATTAAAACTAAAGGCGCTCCTTTCAGCTGGATTTGTTCCAAAGTCCTAAATGTGTGCCACCATGTTCCCTGTAGGTCCAAATGTCTAGCATGCAAAAAGGAGGAAGACTAATACAAACTGAACTGCACAATCTTTGCAAAGGTCAAGTGTCATAAAATGAGCTACAGCTGAAACAGCTTCAAGGATACATCAGTGCTATTTCACAGGGTTTTAACCTAATGTAAAATTGGGATGGTGCTTTTTTCCTCAACTGCAGCAACACGGTTCCAACCCTAACTCTAAACCTGACCGTGTTACCCCAACCAGAGACCCTTCCAACACTATTTGGAAAATCCATGCACTAAATCTAAAATGCAGTTCATCCTTAATACGGGAAAGCATGTCATAACAATTGATATTTTAGCTGCCATAGCCAGTTCTAATCCAGATACAAAGTTTTGTCATGCATGTGTTTTAGAAAGCAGGACTAATCCCAGCATGTAATTCACACATGACCCATGTCTGGGCTTTAAGTGCCACAACTTGCTGCCTGGGTTTGTGTGAGGCCCCTCTGAAGTATCTGCACTCAACTGTACAGCCCTGTCTGCTTCCAGTGATGCACCTCCCCATCCCCAGCCTGGCACTACGAGTGAAAGAGGCTATTGTTCCTAACACTCTGAGGCATGTAGCATGCACTTATGACACCAAGTGGGAGAAATTGTTCCCATTATACCCCTGGAATGTCTTTGAATCAATCAAGTTTGTATGAATACATGCTGCTCTTTAGCAGTTACAAAGAAATGGTGCCTATTTAAATGGTGAAATTAACAAAAGGCAACTTTTTCTGAGCAAAAACTATTATAAAGAAAACAGTAGTGCAACTTTTGAATCAAAAGCAAAACGCTGTTTAATCTCCCTCTTCATGGACCATTTTTCATCCATACCCTGACCTGGAGCAGAGACCACATTCAGATATTCTGAATTAAGATGACTGGTAACATTGTACAAGAAAACAATTGATATTTGGGCATTCTTTCTCCTGAATTCCCTCCTTTTCTTACTAAGCTTTAGTGATGTGTATCAAAGCACAGCTGGGAAAATTTGCTGCTCCGCTCATGGATATTTCTGTGAAGATGTAATTGTTTCTTTTTTTTAGTAGTATGGCTGTGCAGTGGAATTCAAAACAGAAAGTAGAGTTCTCAGTTTTCTCAGGCAGATCATTTATTCTTCACATACCATAAGGCTCTGAATCCTCAAAACAGAGCATTCTTGGCTTTGACCTGCGTGAGAACGTTTGATTCTGCTAGTGGTGCAAAAAACAATAAGAACAGCAAAACCGTTTCAAAAAAATCTTAGGACACACACTACAGTTACTCAAAGGCTACGTTCACACTGCAGGCGAAAGCGGATCAAATCCAACTTTTTTGACCCGATCCAATATTTTCAAATCCGACCCAGGTCACTTTCGTGTGTGGTACTGAATCCGATACATATCTGACGCTTTAGAAAGCGACTGCTGTTTGAATGGTCATGTCGCATTAAATCTGTCTTTTACGTCACTGACACAAGACAGACCCCAATTATCAGCGCCGGAGAAGACATCGTGAACGCTTCCTGGCCACCCAGCGTAACTGTTGGGAAGACAACGTTGGAGAAACATGAACATTTTATTTGTACAGTATAATCTGCAGATTCTGACAGAAATCTGCAACTATCCTTTGAAGCACCGCTCCTCTCTAAAACAGCAATAAGGATCATTATTAGGCCATATGTAAATAACAAAATAATTTTATAACTTAAAGCAAAATTGGGAAACGTAAAGTCTGAAACAAGTCTTTATATTAAGGGCCGTCAGTCAAACAATACTGTTTGGTCTGGGTCTAAACAGAGCGCGTTGTGTGTGACATCTTCTTTTGCGCATGCGGGCCGCTTTGAGGGTTCACACTAGAGCGCGTTTGCTGTCACATTTTATTTGTAGTGTGAACAAGCAGACAAAAAAATCGGATTTGATCAAAAAATCGGAATTGAGCATTAAGACCTGCAGTGTGAACGTAGCCAAAGTGTAAACCAAGAGCACTATGCAGGGGTCATGAAATACAGCTCTATTTCCGTCAGCAGGCTATTTTTAACCCTGCTGTATCATGTATCCCTTCTTGCCATTTTGTTCCTTTGTTGAGTTGGGAGGGATAGCATGGCAGGCTAGGTAAGGTAGAACCTCTGTTAGTGTGTGTGTGAGGGAGAGATGTGATCTGTTGCTCGGGTTGAAAATGTTCTGTCACTAACTCATTAGCCCGATCTGCCTATGTTGGTACTTACTGCTTTCACTGCATCTGCATTTGTGGTCTTTGATAGGATCCAGATGTCTGTCTGGAACACAATACAGTCCTTGTACAAGCTTTACACACGGTCATACATATAGCAAATAGAAGAAATACTGAAGAGCAACCCATATAATGTGTCAGTTTAATTCATTTATAAATGCTTCAAAAGTTACCAACTCACTCATGTGTAATGCTGAGTGTATTATTGGTGGCAGTCTGGGCCTATTGTATTGGTAACTTTAAATTCAGCTCTGAATTTAAAAGAGAGCCAATGAAGAGAAGCTAATATGGGAGAAATATCATCTCTCATAGGGTTCACTGTCAGAGGCCCTAAGAAAATCATCCGTAACCTTCTCTAGTGCTGTTTCTGAATGGTGATAAATTCTGAATCCTGACTAAAACTCTTGAAATAAACCATTTGCAGATCATTTAGCTGTTTTATAACTACTCTTTCAAGAAGGAGGAGGAAGGAAGGTTAAAGATTGGCATATAATTAGCTAAGAAATCCAGTCAGAACTGAGATTATCTGCTTGTTTGTCCTCTAATTAGGCTTGTCAGATCTAATATAATGATGGTTGTTAATTGTAAACCCACTACAGAGCAAACAGGAACTCCTTGTTGTATCCAACTCTTAATACTCTATTTTTAAATGTTTTCTCTTGATAAAAACAGTCTACAGCACACTGG